CGTCCAGTGACAGCAGCATCTCGCGAGGTGGGGAGGAGAGGACGGGGTGTCGGACCAGACTGTGGGACTCGACTGAGGCGGGCCGCTACTGGCGAAGATCACATCACTCACACTCAATGATCGACGCCTTCCCTTCTCTCTCTCTCTCTCTCTCTCTCTCTCTCTCTCTCTCTCTCTATCTCTCTCGCTCTCTCGCTCTCTCGCTCTCTCGCTCTCTCGCTATTTCACTCTCTGTATCTCACTGTTTTTACCTTTCGCTCTATTTTTGTGAAAATCATATCACACTAAAACCATCTATCCATCTGCTCTTCCCGCGTGAATCTTCGAGCCGAAACTGTTAATATTTTGTGTCCGAGACAATTTTGAAGATGAGATGGTTCATCATGAGATCACCATAATGTTGTCATGACGTAGGGGAGGAAAGTGAACGGAGGCTTGGCGCGAATGCAACTTTGTTCAGACCTTTATTATCTTTTCCGTTGGATTACACGTTTGATTAAAATGCAACTGCAATGAGTGGCGACGTGCGTGCTCGGGCAACTTGTCCCGCTCCCCGCGGTGCAGCCCGGTCACAAGGCGTTGCTTTCGGTCTTGTTTCGGTCCCGGCTGCCGATGCACTCGCAGCGGCAGCGCGCGCGGCACAGGTTCCTGCAGTCCTGGTTAGTGCACCTGGCTATACACATATACGCCTTGCCGTCATATGGTCGGCACTCCTCCGCGCAGTCGTCCCAGACGTCGTGGTCCAGGATGGTCTCCGGGACGCCCAGGCAGCCGCAGCTGCACCTGCGCTTGCACATCTCCCAGCACCTGAAGTCCAAGTAGCCGCAGTCGCACGTTGCTCTGTGGTCTACGCACTGCAACACGTGAAGGGGAGCATGCAGTGCACTGGGGGCGGGCGGGCCGGCTCCCGCGCTGAGCTCCTCGGGGTGCACAAGGGTACACGAGTACTCACGTGTCGTTCGTCCGCGCAGCGCAGGTACTCCTGCCAGGCTGAGACGGGCGCGGGCGTCGAGGTTGTTGGTGGCGGTGGCGTGCTCGTCGGCTTGCTCGTCGTCGTGCTCGTCGCCATGCTCGTCACCACGAGCAGCGCCAGCAGCACCGCGACCGCGAAGGCCCGCGGCGTGTCCAGCAGCGGCTGCATCCTTCGCGAGCAGGTGGGGGAGGACGGGGTGTGCCGGACCTGGGATCTAGATCCCACAGCTGCAGCGACCTGTAGGACCTGACTGCCCTGAGCGGCGGGCGCCCGAACAGTACACACAGCTCCGGGAGGTGTCGGCGGCGCGTCAGGCGGGCCAAGACTGACAGAACCGCACCCTCTGATCAGCGACCGCAGGCTGCGGTCCGCAGCGGGCTGTTGTGATAAGGGGCTGGCAGGGCCTCTCTCTCTCTCTCTCTCTCTCTCTCTCTCTCTCTCTCTCTCTCTCTCTCTCTCTC